CGCGCGGGGCCTTACTGGGACAGGTGGGATTGGAGCACTCCCGGGCGTCGGCGTGGGCCCCCCGGCACTCGGCCCAGCCGTGGGCCGAGACGCTGCACTTGCGCGTCCGCTGCTGCGTGCCGTTGGCGCAGGTGACGGAGCAGCGGCTCCAGGCGCCCCACTCCAGCCACTGCCCTTCCACTGCGGGGACAAGCGAGAGCGGCGTCAGGTCCCACCGGCCAGCGGCCCCTCGGCCACATGGCCCCCAGCTCCCCGCAACCCACGCCGGGCTCTCCGTGCAACGGGTCCAACCTATGGACGCGCCGGTTCCTCCCGTGCCGACCTCAATAGCCGGCGCCAAATCGTGCCCCGGCCGGGGAGGACCGTCACCAGGACTGGTTCCCACGTGCCGAGCGGCTGCTCCTGCAGCCCTGCTGCACCGCAACGCCCAGCCCTGCCGCACGGCCGCACTCGCTCAACCCCGGCATCGCTCCCCGCCAAAGCCATGAGCCCCAGTGATGCCGAAAGGGCCAGGGCAGGCGGGGAAGGAGCTGCCGTGAGCTTCCATCACGCCAGCAGCATCTCCACGGGGCTGCTGTGGCAAAAGCCATGTGCCGTGGGTGGCACGTCCCCGCCGGAGCTGCTGCAGAGGGAGTGCGCCCCACGCACCCCTCAGCTCCCACGCTCCCTCCTGCTCCCAGCCCACCGCCGGCCTCCCCATGCCGCACGTGGGGTCCCCACGGGGATGCTGGCCCTGACGTGGCATCCCTGGCCATCACCACAGAAACCCCACGGCCACGCCTGGCACACAGGAGGAAAGGATGGAGATGGCGGTGCCACCCGCACACAGACAGACCCTGCAGCCGACCCCTTTCGCCACCTCCCCGGTGCCCCACGACGTCCCTGTGCCACCCTGGTGCCAGCGCTGTGCCTGCTGCGGGGGGACAGTCAGCCGCAGCAGATGGGAGGAGAAGGAGCCGGCTCCTCCACGGTCCCCAGGCTGGTTCCCCCTGCCCACGGTGGGGCCTCGAGCCCCCCGGCATGGCCGATGGAGCCGGCTCTCCATCCTGGTTTCCAGCGGGACAGGAGGGTGCACCCCATGTCACAGCACCCACGTGCCCACGGGCTGTCCCGGGTCCCCATGCCGATGCCACCCGTCCCTCGCAGCACCGCAGCCCCACGCCGGGAGCACGGCCCTGGCTCTCGGCCGGTGCCGGTCTCCTGGTGTTCCCGGGGGGGAAGAAGGAGCAGGGGGAGAGGGAGGTACTGACCCGGGCAGCTCGCAATATTGCAGGACTTGGCCTGCAGCTCGGGGCCCTCGCAGGCTTTCCCTCCGTGCCGCGGGGCCACGCACCGCCGCGTCCTGGTCCTGGACCCTCGCCCGCAGGTCACCGAGCACAGGCTCCACGGGGACCACTCCTCCCACACGCCGTGAACTGCAACACAGCACAGCCCCGTCGCCCCACGCTCCCGGCCCCCCGTGGGGCTCCAGCCTCCTCCTCCTCCTGGCACCGAGGGGTCCTGGCCATTGCAGACCCCTGGGGCACTGTGGCAGAGCCGGGCACAGTCCCCGGCTCCCCTCCGTGTCCCGCCGGCACCGCTTGCCCCACCATCGCACCCGAGCCCAAACCCCAAGGGCCCCGAGCAGGCAGCGCTGCCCACTACCACTCCCTGCCCTGCTCCAGCCTCCCTTTTGGGGTCCCGGCACCGGCGGCACACGTCCCCCCGCACCCACGCACAGCCCAGCTCACCCCAACCTGTGTCGACACACCGGGCACGGTCGCCCCTCGCACGTGTCGCACCCACGGGAGCTCAGCTCACCCAGGAAGGGAGCAGGGACCCGCACGGCGCACGAGCATCCTAAAGGATGCTCCTCCGCGAGCTGCGATGTCCTTGGAGTGATGGGACGGGGTTGCACTCCCCGGTACGGAGGGGAGCAGGCACCGGCGTGTTTTGGGGGTGCAAAGCCCCCAAAACATCCCAGGTTCAGACAGGGCAGCCCGGCTGCCACTGCAGCACCCCGAGGCTCCTCTGATTCCCAGTGTCCCACGTGAGACGAACGGATACCACCGCAGACAAACGGGCCAGTATATGGCCCAGTGAGACCCCCGGCACCCTGCCTGCCCACTCCTGCCCACGACCTGCCTCGAAGCACGGAGAAGCTTGGCCCCATCCTGCCCCACACGAGTGGGGAACCCCCACCACGCCAGGCCAGGCAGCTGCCTGGTCCCGAGTCCCCCGGCACAGGCTCCAGCCCCTGCTTCTCCCCCAGCACAAAGCCTCGAAGACACCCTGGGGAAGCCCCAAGTTTGCTGGGAAGGAGGATGGAGAGGGGCTGCCGGCCGAGCTGCTCCCAAAGCAAAACCCCCGGCAGCAGCACCGGTGGCGGGGCATGGGGTGCTGGGGCACCCATTCCAGATGCCTCCCCCGGTTTGCTGCTCCCCACGTGGTTTCCCAAGAGCTGGTACAGCCGGGAAGGCGAGACGATGAGAGGATGCCAACGGGGCTCGGAGCAACCCAGCACGGGATGGGCAACGCCTGCTTCCACGACAGCGCTGCTGCACAGAGCCACCCTCCTCAGCCACCCCCCACCTACAAGAGACCCCCCCATCTCCAGAAACCCCCCCAGCAACACAAGTCCCTGCTCTCCCCAGCGACCCACCCGCTCAGCCCTTTGGGCATCACCCCAGAGCCCAGCCAGCGATGGGCACCCCCACAACGGGTAGCGAAGCCCCCCCTAATGCCCATGTACCCTCCCCCCCCCATACCTGGGCAGGTAGCCGTGTTATTGCAGGTCCGCGTCTCCCGGAGCAGCCCGCTGCACAGCGTCCCGTAGGGCGAGGAGACGCAGGAGCGCGTCCGCACCTGGGATCCCTGCCCGCACGTCAGGGAGCAGACGCTCCACTGGGACCATTCCTCCGCCGCCGGGTCCCCTGCGGGAGACACGAAGCCTAAGAGCCGGCGACTTCTCCGGTGGGGGGGGAACCGGGGAAGGTGCCGTGAGCGGAGCCCCCGTGGGGGGCCGGGAAAATAGCCGGGCAGCACCCGTGAGCGTAGGGATGAGGATGTTGTGCCGTGGGTGACAGGGATGATGCTGAGGACGTAAGTGGGGTGAAGGAGCCCATGTCACCCTCCAGACCCAGCACCAGCGGCACACGGAGAAGGGGTCGGGGCACAGGATCACATCTGGCACGAGGGATAACATCCAGCCCGGGCAGCGCAGGCAGCACGGGCAGCCCGGCACAGCTCCCTCTCCCCACCGAGGCACAGCATTGACATTTACAACAACCCGGCCCTTATTAAGCTTGATGATGTCTCTGAAGCTATTGGACAGGCCAGAAGAAAAGGCCATCAGTTTAAATTAAAAAGGAATATATGGAGGAGGGCTCCGAAGGGGACAATTTGTCCTGGAGATAGGCAGGGCTCAGGCTCCGGAGCAGGGCTCCTACAGAGGTGACAACGTCCCGTGGCTGCTCCGCGTCACACGGGGACCCCAGGGCCGGACCGGGCCACCACTGGGGTCACCCCACACTCTGCCCAGCAGCTCCCAGGGGGGACAGGACCCCCATGAGCATCCGAGCGCTGCCGGGAGGAGATCTGCATGCCAGGCACACGGAGCGGAGCTCCTCTCCCGGTGCCAGGGCTCATCCATCTCCCGCTCGCCTCTGAGCCCTCCGACCATAAATCAGGGGGGGCTGGGGAGGGGGCAGCAGCACTCTCAAATTACCCAGATGGATTTGCCAAATAAATACATTTGAACTAAACAATTAATGGATTTTTTTTTTTTTTTTGCTTTACAACCCTCGGAGGAAGGTGTAAAGGAAAAATGTATAAATGGAGCAAATTAAGTTGGTCTGTGGGCAGGAAGCAAATTGAGTCGCTCCATCTCCATCACCCCTGCCCATGGCTAGGCACCCGAGCCCAGCACCGCCAGCGTCCTGTGCCTGTCCTCGTACCGGAGCAGCACCAGTACCTGTTTGGGCCATGTAGACGCCTGGCTCGTCCGCTGACCGTGGCCACTGGGTTTTCACCTTCTGGTTCTCCTCGACCGCATTGCCTGGAAGAGAGAAGGGCTCCGGTGAGAGCGGGCAGGGAACGGGGACACGGATGTGGATGGGCCACTGTGGGTCAGGGGACATTGCAGGGGGGATACAGGGATGCCTGGCCCCACACTGAGCGCTGCGTGGCATCCCCGAGGGCAAGAGACGGTTGAGCATGGCTGAGCACACTCACAGACGAAAAAAACATGTCACAGCTCCCCCAAACACGTCACCCCCCGTCACAGGGGCTGCAGCTGGAGCACGGCCCGGGTTGCCACGTCCCTGGCGCGGCCAGGGTGCCCGCGCCCCCGCCGTGCTGGGCAGAGGTGCTCTCCCGTCCCCGCTTAACAGCTTGCTGCAGTGAGGTGGCACAAATTTATGGCTCGGCTCACCAAAAATAACAAGAGATCCATCAAGAGCACTTGGCGTGAAATTAACTGGCATGTGGAGGGCTTGGCGGGAGGTGCAGCTGCGGGCACAGGGTGGGGGTCCCTTCCCCAGCCTCCCCCACACCCCCTGGGCCACCCCCCTGTCCTGCAGCAGGGTCCCTTGTCCCCATATCTGGATGGAGGATGCTGGCGAGTTCCCACGCGCTTGCCCCAGGCACAGCACGGCAGCACCGGGGCGGCTGCTGCCGGTGGATGCCGTGTGCCGTGGGAAGCAGCGGGGGCTCCCCTGGGCACCATCGACGCCACCTCGGGCACGTGGACCCCCAAAACGTACCATGGGCACCTCGCTGCTGTGCCAGCCAGGACAGCAGCCAGCGATGGCACAACCGCCTCGCCGAGCTGCCCCGGCACTGCCGGCTGAGCCTGGTGATGTCCCCAGGGGACAGCGGGGAGGTGACATGGGGACACCTGGCATTGGCGGGGGAGCCCCCAGCCATGCTTTGGGCATGCCGTGGCTCCCGTTGCAACACACAGACGTGATATACGAGCCCCAGGCAGGGAGCACTGCCTGCACTGACACTTATTAGTACCATAAACCAGACCCAAATTTACTGACTTTTGCCTTCAACGCAGCGTAACCCCTGCACAGGCCCTTTCCCTGCATGGGCTCCTCGCCGTCACCGCCGGTGCAGCCAGGCACCCTTGGCTCCTCTTCCCATGCATCCCGCTCCGTGGCATGGGGGGGGTGCAGACGGACCCGGAGAAGCCGAGGGGCTGCCCTGGGGGGGTCTGTCAGGCCGTGGGGCTGAGCTCCCCGCGGGGCCGCCCACCCCCATCAGTGGCACGGCAGAATTACGCACGTCACGGTGAGCGCCCGGGGAAAACCATAAATCCCGAGGATATACGAGGGCGCTCTCCCCGGCTGTGTTCGACAGAGACACCAAATTCAATTTCCTTCGGAAAGCACTAAATCCCCAGCCGTCACTGCGGGGCGGCTACGGCCGTCCCTAGCACCTTCCGCTCCGGCACCCAGTCCTGCCCTGGGGGTCCCCCAGCGTCCAACGCCGTGGCACTGGAAGGGGCTGGAAGGGCAGGGGGGTTCTTCTGGGGACCTCACGATGTCCCCCAAGGCCAGTCGTGGCCCCGGCCCCATCCCGGCATCACCTCCCCGGGGGCTGGTTTCTAAAGGGTGATGGGTTTGAGGGCAAAAGGGGAATGCAGCCCAGAGCAAGCCCCACAGCTGGAACCGCTCGGCTCCAGCGCCGCAAGCTCTGCGGGGGGTGTATGCCCTCCAAAGTCACCCCCCCCTGCCATTGCACGGCTGCAATGCACCCCATGTCACCCCACCAATTTTCGACCCCGTCCCCACACCCATCCAAGCTTCCCGCCCGCGTGGACCCAGCACCGCATCGCACCGGGGGCTGCATCTCCCCGTCTCCCACCACGTCGTCCCCCTCCCCGGGTCCCGTGGGAGAGCTGCGTCACGGAGGGGACGGTTCGGGGACCCCCGGGGAGGGGGGGAGGGGGGGTTTGCCACCATGGGTGGGAGCGGGGAGGCCCGGCGAGCGGCCGGGCGGGTGCCAAGCCCCGCGTCGCTGCGCGGCTGCGGCGCGCTCGGCGGAGGAGAGCCGGTGAGATCAGCGCTGGGCGCCCGCCAAGGCTCGGCTCACAAGCGCCATTCAGCCCCCCGGCCCTGCCTGCCACCGCCACCCTGAAAGGCGACCATTCTCCACCCCGCAAAGCGACGGGGGGGAGGCCAGGTGGAAGCCCCGGACCCCCCCCCTTCGCTGCCATGAAGGCCGCTCTGTGCTCCAGCCCTGCAACCCCGCAGCCCGGCCCGGTGATGCAGGCGAACGCCTTTTTGGGGAAGGGGGGGGGGTGGAAACACGGTGCGGGGGCTCGCCCCGGCTGGCAACGGCACAGTGCAACGGGGCGGCCGAGGTAGCGCATTACCCTTGCAGCTCCGGCGCCGCAATAACATTGTACCTCCGGGCACCTCCAGGTTTTAATTGAATGTCAGATGTAATTTGGGGAAGGAGCGGGAGTTCACGCTCTCGCCATTGCGGCTGGTCGGCGTGCCGGTTCATAGAAAGGCGGCAGGCGGCTCGGTGCCTGAGCGTGCCGGGTCTGCAGGGACCCCCCCTCTCCAGCACCCAGCCCCGGCATCCTCTCTTTAAGCCGTGCTCGGTGTTACTAACCCCGAGCAAACCAGCCACGGGGAAGTTTAGAATCTCCTCGCTTCTCGAGGGGATGGAGCATCCTGCAGCCCCGCTCCACACCTGCAGCACCCAGTGCTCCCCAGGCAGCCCCACGGCGGGTGTCAGCCCCTGCAGCATCCCTAGGCCAGGCTGACCTTGGGGGATGGCATCTGAACCCAGCACTGAGCTCTTAACTGTCCATGTGGAGTTGCATTTAAAGGTGAAAAAAGGAAGAAAAAAAAGAAAAAAAAATCAGCTCAGGCAGCTCCCCTTGGGATGAGGCGATTTATAACCCTGCAGCTGTAACGGACTGGGGATTTAGTCAGGGGATCTGCCTCTAATGACATTTAGCTCCTGAAATAAATGCTAAAGCCCAATGAAATTATATATATACCCACAGCCCATCACCACCTCCTAATCTGCTGGATAAAGACTCCACAGAGCTAAGTTGGGGATTGCTCCTCCCCGTGCATCACCCGGGCCTGGCACGGGGGAACATCTGGCCAGATGTGCCTCAAAACCCCTGCTTCACCTCGCCAGGCTCGGCAGAGATGCCCCACAGGCGAAGGGAGCGCTTGGGTGAGATGGCTCCTGGCCACGGGCAGCCCGACCCCGGTGCCCAGGGCGCTGGCGAGCACGGCTGCTTTATCTTCGCTTGAGGTTTCTGCAATTCCGTAACAAGCAAATGGCTTCATTCCGCCTGGTTAATAGCCCGGCCGCGCCGTGCCGCCGTGCCGTGACATCCTGCCTGGAATAACAAGCGCCCAGGCTGCAGCAGTCAAGGGTAATTTGCCACGGGAAAGGGTCATTTTACCTGCAAATTGTTTTCCACATCTCCACCAATGCAGAGTGATAGGGCTCCTGCTCCGGGCTCGCAGTCAGGCGAGCAGCAGCCTTGTGCCGGGGAAGCGACGAGCAAGGCTCCGGGGCCACGCAGGCTGTGCCAGAGCAACCGTGGCAAACAACCGGGGCCGGCACGGCGGGGAGCGGCACTAACGAGGCCGGCCGGACCGCAGCGAGGGCAGAGCGAGCTGCGGCTCCACCGAGCCCGGCCGTCGCTCCAGCGAGGTGCCCCTGGAGCC